TTAGTTTTTTTTAGAGAAAAATAATTATGATTATTAAATAATATATCAGTTTGTGTACAAGAATAAAGTAAAAATTTTTTTGAGTACTTCTGGGAACAAAAAAAAATGAAGAAAATTATACTAAAATAGCTTGAGTGAGATAACTTGCGTAAGTAACTTACATAAATTACTATCTTGAGTATACAACACATACAAGTGTGATTAATTAAAAACTTGTATATTAATGGAAATTCTAATCTTAATTATTAATTAACATGATTAAACACTCACAGTAATAAATTACAACCAATGTTATTCATAAAAATAATCCATAATAAATTAAATAAAAAATTCATTCTCAAGTCAATTTCCTTTCTAAAAACAGACTCCAAATAAATCGAAATAATAAATGTATCACTAAATTTTTTTTTTTTCTATCTCAGTTGAGAAAAAAGCAAAATAATTGCTAATACTGCAAAGCTAAACAAAGAATCTCATAAATTACCCAACTGCATATCGTTCATTATAATAAATGAATATTTGATGCGAATAGTAATATAAGATGAGAGTATCAATTCCGGAGACTTATTCGGTGGTCGAATATATGCTTATGGTTGTAGTTTGCTTGCGGAGAAATCGGGTCTCACAGCCTTGAGTATGAAGAGAACATATGGTCCACGAGCAACGAAAGACTCACATTAGCCAAGAGTCTGAGACTCGTAATCTCACTATATATCACAGGATGCGCCAGAATGTGCACCATTACACTGTAGAGACGCTGGAGAGCAATAAAGTGTACAAGTTAATCCTTGCGTAGTTTTTCCAAAGGTGGCTATGGTTTATTGAGGGAGGCCGTTAGTGTACATTAATACATTCTCCACATTATTCCTACTAACCAATTAAATCTATCCTTTTATCGTAATTCTAGTGTTGAATATATCACCATCAAGGTATAGTAGGAGGGAATAAAGGATTGAGAAGGAGATAAAAGTAATTAATTCGCAATCAGTATTTATTTTTTGGATATTAATTATTTATTAATTAGCTATTATTCTGATATCGTATGAACATTTGTACATGTGTTTTGCATCATGAGGTACTTGTGTATGGCATCGTCAAAATACATAATTCATAATGTTTTCATACATCTTTCTTTTATTTTTTTATTCAATTATCTTGTATATTTATTATTTATCGGTCATATTTATTTATTTATTCATTTATTTTTAAATATTTTATTCTCTGTTATATCATCGTGGCGGCAGTGATTGTTTATACTGAGTACAATGAAAAAACATTTAATTTTCATACGAAATTGTGTTTTCTTCGTTAGCTAGTTCTTTTATTTTTAATTGCTCAAAAGAATTACTTTTCTCAATTTTATTAGCAAGCATAAAAATTTTTTTTCACGTCTTGTGTTGTGAATTAATTAATGATTATAGGAGAGATAAATTTTTTTCGTTCACAATAAAAAAGAAATTCTTGGAATTTTTGAGATGACAAGAAAACTTAAAAATCCTGATCGAAGAGATGCTGTGAACTAATTACAAGTTATTTCGAATCAATCTTATTTCTTTGACGCATAATCGACACAATTAAGTCTGTCTTCAAGTTGACGAGACTGATGTTATCTGAGTGCCATTAATGAAGCTAATATTAGCCGCCACGCAGCTCGATGATTGGCATCTCTTTCATCATTTTTTTACTTAATTAATCTAAAATTTGAATATATATAATATATTAATATTCCAAAAGAACAATTCGCTCACAACGAATTAAAAAACATAGAAATTTAGCTAGAAAACGCATAGTACAGTATATTGGACTACACCTAACATCATGATTTCTTCAATTATTTATTTAATTCATTACCTTTTTTTTTTTTCAATTATAATAGATAAATCGCTCAATATTGCTTCGTCGTCAGGTAGATGTTGCCTAAATCTAATAATAACAAGACAAGTGTTGAGACTATAGACTTGGTAAAGGGCAACTTTTCCATTATTTTTGAACGACGTTAAATTGTTATTAATAAATTTTTTTTTAATTATCACGATTTTTTTTTGTAATTATCATTATTATTTTTATTATGCATCATATTCTACCAGATTTCATCGAGTATTTACTTAATTATTTTTTATTTTCACCAAGTCTTCAACAATTTACATATTAATTTACGAATGCCCAAAGTTACCTTGATATGAAAACTCCACTTATGCTTCGTGAAATAATTATCTTTATCTTTAATAATCACACAATCAAACTGTAATTATTTTCATTCGATTGACATATAGCAAAAAGATGCAAAAAAATATTTATAATATATGATATGAAAAAGAATTATATCTATAACTAAAATTAAAACTTAATATTAAAAAGGAACAAAAAGAGGAAATAATAAAATAATGAATTCAGGTATATTTCATGAAATAAAATATATTTATAAAAACAGAATATTAAACGCATGTACAATAATACAAGTCGCATAATAATTATACAAAAAACACATTTTCAACTATTCATTTTTTCTATTGTCACAACGGCCTTAAACAGGAACTGAAACCACGTGTCGCTAATTTTATTTTACCTTTATTTTTCTTCAAAAATGATTTTCAACTAATTTTAGCATCAATAATTACATTTACCGTGATATATAAAAAAAATTTAAAATTGAAATTTTACATACAAATATGGCACAATTGAATGAAGAAAGTAATTTATTTTTTAACATTAATATTTTCTTTGATCCATGTAATTTAGATTGAGAAATGTACATACATCATTCAATAATAGATATAAAATGTAATTAATCATTCATATCGTTTCGGTGTTGTGTTTTATTAACTTAAATATTTACAAAAAAAATTTTTTTTTTTTTTTAGAGAAAAAAATTATTTTAGCTAAAATAGCCTTCTTTTTTCCTCCTTTCATTCTAATATAATTACAAATTAGTTGCTTACTTAATTATTTATATTGATAATTTATTGCTAAAATTATTAATTACAACTTCGATTTTATTTTAGCTTAATTAATGTTTTTTTCTTTAAAAAAAAAAGACTTTTTTCCATTAACTAATACAAAAAAATCACAACTCGCCCGTACGATATATATCTGTATTTTTTTTTTTTTTGTAAATTATTATTATTATTATTGCATTGGCTTTTCATCATTTCATATCTCCTTTCTTTCATTCATCGATAATTCCTGAACTCTGAGGTAGTCTGTTCTGGGACTTTACGTAGTAAAAAATGGCAAGAGGCTATAATTCGTTTTTTATTTTCTTTATTTAATAATAAACTAAAAAATTGTTTATGTACAATATTTATTTCAGATCTCGTCCTAAATAAATGCATCTGTGGTATACGGTAGTTAAGCTGATAAAGATAAGGGCGAGACTAATAATAGATCAGCCGAAACAATGAAGACAAAAATTATTAAATATAAACAAATATAATGCAAAAAAATTAATGACTTTTATATAGAAACAATTGAACATTAAAAAGATCGACTTCTAAATAACAACAAGACAAAATTGGCTAATTGCGGTCGAGCAATAACATAACAATGTCTGTTTGATAAACAATCAAGTAATTAATTGGCTCAATCAATCAACGATTAACAGAAATAATTGTGTGTAATTTATATTATGGCAAATTTTTTTTTGTTATTAACTATTTTTAATTATTTTTTTTTATTTTCACTTTATTCACATGGCCTTGTGTAGTTCTCGAAGAAATATTAGGTGGGTTGAGAATCTAATGGATTTTTTTGTTCTATAATTTTACTTAATGGAATTACTATTTCTCTTCTTTTTTTATTTTTTATCATGTTTATTCCTCCCTTCGAGTAACTCACATGTTAGAACTTAGGCTATCATAGATTACAAAAAAAGAGAGCCCACTGTGAAAACGTGCGAGAGAAACCAACTGTGTTTCATCGTATTTTGGAATGTGTAGAAATACTTTCGTTTGTTTACACGCGTGAGTATAAGAAGATTTATAAATCTAAGAGAAAGAAAATGTCATAAATATTAAATTTGGCAAAAATTCATGACTTTGTTAAATATTTCTCACTTCTAAATAATGATCCATATTGATGAATTTATCATTTTTTTAAGCACAGGATAAATTCTTTCAAATTCGTTTATTTAAATCTATCATTATCATCATCATTATTCTTTTCATTATTAATATTAATATCATTATTATTATTATTATTATATATAAACAATTAAGATGATTTAACAGTCAATTATTCGTTCGTTTCCACATTGGTCCTATCTATAATATTTATTTATTCTTGTTCTTTGTATTTTTACTTCTCTTTCCTTGTTCTCAATGTAACTATGATATGTTATAAAATACGAGTATTATAGGTAGGATTTTGCAATCATCATCTTTTATTCGATCACATTAATTCAATAATTACAATAATATAATAATAATAATAATATGCCTAGATATTTAATGTATTTTGTACAGTCGATAAGCTTCGAAGGTTCGATATCGATTCAATATCCATCAATTATCATTCATTCATTAGCCTGTGATTTACAATATTCAGAGCTAGCTCACTATTGAGCTGGGAAAATGCTATCAAATCGCAATCTATTGAATCAAAACGTATTCTCATGTATAATCTACTAGATTCAATTCTGAATATCACGATTTTTCAAATTAATACATTAATTTAATTTTAAAATACACCTTTGCATTCCCAATAAGCCCGATTTTTTGAGATTTTATTGTATTTATATTATAACAGGAATATTCTCTAATCGTCATGAAATAAATATTATTGAGCAAGTAAAGTAATAGTTTAACTCATGGCCATGACAATTCATTGAAGAGAGTCTTCATTGAAAAATCAATGATCTGAATATTCTTTGAATAATTCAACGAAAACTAATTATTATCATGGTCATGAGACTGTTTATTACATGATAAAAATATTATATCATTGTTTTGAATCGATACGAAAAAAATATAATAAGAAGATGAATTTGATTGTAGTTAGGATTATGTTGTAAGAGACTAATTGTTACCTATGGGAATGATGATCTCCAAGTCGACGAAGCGGGTGAGTACATCGACATCTTGATGATCCTTTATTATGCCCTTAGGTGAAGATTCTGGTTATTGGACTTCTTTTTGTGCGTATCGAGGTGTTTCATCATGTGGTCCTTTCTGATAAAACCCTTTCCGCAAGTATCACAGGCGTAAGGCTTTTCGCCGGTGTGGAGGCACATGTGCCGTCTAAGGTCTGTCTTGTGGTTGAACTGCTTTGGACAGATCTCGCATTTGTATGGCTTGTCGCCTGCGTGCTTTTGCAGGTGCTCGGCGTGCAGGTACTCAAGGGGAAACCGCTTGCCGCACTGATTGCATTTGAACGGCTTGTCACCAGAGTGGAAGCTTTTATTGTGTTGGGTCAAGTAGCAAGCTTTATTAAATACTTTGTTACACTTGATGCACTTGTGAAAACCATCTTGTGAGATGTAATGTGAACCGGTACTGGTCACTTGATGTTCCTTGGTAGTAAGAGGCGATTTCTTTCCAGTTCCATCATTATTATCGTTCTTGCCAACATTAGGATTAATCTCTTCTTTACCTTGATGATGAGGTAAGTTATTGTTTGTCTCTGGTTGACGATTATCTCTTAGGAATGAATGACGTTGAATAATTTCATATTGTTTAATGATTCCATTAGTAGTTTCTGTATGATGAAGTTCTTGACTATTGATGTTTGCCAAGGATTCATATCTTGAAGATGGACTAAATGAAGTATAACTTTCGTCAACGTTGTAATTTCTGTCTTGAGGAATTCCTTCCTCTGGGCTTAGCCCCCCCACGTTAACAGCCTGAGGTTGATTGTGGCCTACTAAAAACTCGGTTATACCGAACTGAGCAAAGCTCGGTAAGGATCTCTGATGGTTGCTGAATGTCCCAAAACCGGGTAACATTTCCTGAGTCTGCTGATGATGTTCACTTTTGTGTTCACCAATAATAGTTAGCTGGTTGGTGATAGAGCCCAGCAGGCCCAGGCTGGTAGTAGTTGTAACGTGGGGGGGCAAGGCGTTTGGGTACGGCTGATGAGGCATTGAAGTACCCCCCATTGGAGGCGAAGCCATTGGCGGCATCCCCGGCATCATGGGTGACGGCGAATTCATGTGATGGGACGCCATTTGAGAAGGCGAACTCAGATGCTGGTGTGGTGGAGGCGGATGCATGGGTGACATGGGTGAAGTCATGGGATGGTGGACCGATATTGGTGACGGCGAACCCATTGATAGGTGGTGTTGTGCCAACTGGGACGATGGGGAACCTTGTTGATGATGGTGGTGGCCCCCCATTGGAGATTGGACCGGAGAATTGATGTTCACCATTGATTGACCCATGTGCACCGTTGTAGGTACCGGCTGTTGGGATGCCGGGTGTTGTTGTTGATGTTGGAGGCACACTGTTACCGAAGAGTCGCTGCTGTTGCTGTTGGAATGATGGTTGTTGGTGGTGTATAGATTGGTAGGCGTGTTGAGCAGGCCCCTCGCTGCCTCTCCCGAGGGACCTGCCATCAAGTTTGGGGGACTCCCTGAAGAAGATAGTTCTGGAGATCTTGATGCACTCCCTGTTCCCCCAGCAGTTCCTCCTCCTCGAGTAGAATGCGTTATATTATTAGCATCTCGACCCGGGTGATGATGAGCACTAATTGGCATATTCGCTGGATCTGGTTGATTACTTTGTTTCACAGCGTTTTTATGTAACGTTGTGTTGTAATGCCGCTTTAAATGGCCTGAGCTAGTGAACCACTTGTTGCATGCAGTACAGTTGTAGGTCTTTGGTCTCCGCGCTTCGTTACTCTTCCACGATTGATTTGATATTAATGGTGGCTTCGTTGGCTGTTGAAGTATGCTCGTTGGCATTGGATGACCGGGTATAGGCTGAGTACTCGTAATTATTGGAGATCCAGAATGTCGAGGTGATTCTACAGGTATGTGTTGACCACGCATGAATGGAGTTTGTTCTGGTATTGGTGATACATTGCCCATAGGACCCATAGGTGACATTCCGGGATGATAATCATGAGGTTGTGCTGGAGGCCAGCCTAACATAGAACTCACCGAATGAGATGCATTCCTCTGCTGTTGAATAGCTTGCTGCTGTTGTTGATGAAGTTGCATGTGCATGTCTTGATGATGCTGATGAATCCTTACTATTTCATCTTCATATCTGTGAGTTTGCACTTTGTGAGAATCAAGATCAAGAATTTCAGCTTGTTCTTCTTGCTCTTGCTTTGTTTCTTGTTTAATGATGGCACCAGTTGTATTATAATCAAAATTTTGTTGCTGAGAAGGTGGCTGAGATGGTGGATTATTATGAGGAGGTGAAGTATGCACTTGATGTGGGGGTTGCGGTGGCTGTTGTTGTTGTTGAGAATGCTGTGGACTACCACCAAGTTGTTGATATTGTGCTGGATATGTATTTGGTGACGTAGGATGATTAGCTCTAACATGTTCAGAAAGCTGATTTGCATCATCAAACACTCCTCCACATTTATCACATTGCAAAGGACTTCTTGGACTCGTCGAACTCACAGAGTTGGCTCGTTCATTTGAGAAATGCTGTTGATGTTGGTAAGGATGATACCTTGCAGCATAATTACTGCCACCGTTGTTTGTAGTATCATCGTGGGTGGGTGAATAATGATGTGGCAGCAGGTAAGCTTGCTCGTTATGCATGAAGTAGCTCGTTTCACTGAACATCGGTGTTTGAAAGTGATTGTAACCTTGCGCGCCGGGTGGTGGCTGCTGTTGGGATGACACGGGTGGTTGTGCCGGTTGCTGTTGTTGTGATTGCTGCTGCTGTTGCTGCTGCTGCTGTTGAGATGTTGATGGACTCAGAGACGGCGTTTGTGATAAAGATTCACTTGAATCTGCAGGTGCGGTCACACTTTCGCGTTTTTGACCCACGTGACTATTGTGGTTACCAGCTTTACTATTGTTATTGTTACTCTCCTCCTGCTGGGCTTGACTGGCCCACTGACTCAGCAGGTTTTCTTGATGATACCGCAGGTGTACTTCAAGACTTTTGCCGCTCTCAAAATATAATCCACAATCTTTGCAATGATGCTCAGGATTGGATCCTCCACCGCCGTATTGCTGCTGCTGTTGCTGTTCAACACTCGTCATTTCACTCATATTGTCTGATCGAACTTTATTGAATCGCATATACACCGCGATTTTAAATAATAATTTATGTTATTAAACCATAAATATTATCCACAAATTGACACACACGTTGTACTTTCTCACTTTCTGTCTTTTATAATGTAAACAGTTTTCCAAATTAATATATCAATTTTAAACGCGCCAACCGGCGCTCTTTAGATCTTAGAAACGGAGCACGTTATTGTTTATATTTTGGAGCACATTAATAATATATATCACAAGTCACAGTTGACTGTTTGGCGATATTCCCGCGCCAATAAATCAAGAAATAAAATAAAAATCAAACTAAAAATACAAGAAATTCACGTTCTACATTGATCATATGACCGAATGATTCTTTTTAATAAAAGTCCCGAACAATGACGCCGCGTTTAATCGGGGGATGTTTCCAGCCAACGAGGACGGCATCATTCTCAACTCCGCGTGTTTTTCAACACCCGGCGTAATTTTCTTGCGATTGCGCGGTTGGCGGATAAGCCGAATTGACTTTAACAATAAATATAAAATTTAATGAGTTAAAATAAATATAACAAACTAAAATAGAAAGCTGGATTGATCGACCGATTACATTATCGTGATCAATCCCAGCTCAGCGTTTGTACACAAACTGAATCAAGTAACAACGGTTATTAATTCACTAGTGACACAGTTCTTTCAAAAGTTAATCTATACGTCACAATAATCTCCCACTTATCACCACAGTCTTCACTAATCGCATTGTAATTAATCAATTACTATTTTTCCATTTAATTTTCATAGTCAATTTTTATCACACCCTCCAAAACCACCTACTCCGATGATACGGTAAAGAAGAAAAGATCTCCACCGTCTTCAACTCTCGCGCACATAAACAATGAAAACTTATGTAACTCGAGACCCGCGTCGCACGAACGCCGGCACTGATCTGTTGGTTGGAATTCCAGACTTTCGAGTTGTCGGGCTCGCGCCAAGGCACTAAACCCCTCGTCCTTCTTTCCCCTTACCGACACTTATTCCCCTCCACGAGAATCTACGAGTAGTCCAGCGACCGCCTCGAGACAGCCAACCAAATTTGAGATGCCGAGCGCTCCTTGTCCCCACCAGTACAAGTCTTACCCCTACTACAGGGACTCCTCAGCGTCACGAAGGACGAAGGAGGGTCCTGCAGGACTCTACCAACATGTTATCTCTTTCCCTCTTATTCTGTATCCTATTTTCTTTCCATTACTTCTCCACTTTCCACATAACCACTTCCTAGCATTCTTCTACACAACACTCGGCCCTTTACCAAAAGTCTTCTCCTCCCACTGGAACACGCTCTGATATTCCTCTTCATCGTGTGTCCCTGTTAGACTTGCAAATGAAAATATTTTCTATTTATTGAATAAAACAAATCATGAAAAAACTTTACAAACTACTCTGAATAGTAAACTTTGTAAACATTTATTATTATGATGATTGGTGGTTGCTAAATAATGAATTAAACTCTGTTGAAATGTAAATATTTTTCATAAAATCGGTTAGAAAAGTTGATTAAAACTTTTTCGAATGAATAGCACGTGATATACATTTATGACGCCTCTACTATAAAAGTAATGAAACGTTCAGTTATGTTGGTTTTGAGCTTATTTAATTTCCATAGCCACAGGCTACACAGAGGGAGGGAAGAAATCATAACTGGCTGTGAAGCGAATCACTGTAACTACTGCAAAGCAATTTTACGACTTTCAACTCGTTTGTTTTTACTTACTGACATCTATATATCCGTTTAATACAAGTATTCAATACATTCACGCAACACATTTATACAGCTAGTAAACTTTATTTCTCATTCATCATCACGATAAACAAGTGTACCTTTAACCTTGACCCTGAGTTTGATCGAAGATAATATACCGATGAATTTTACATATACAAATAAAAATAATGACAAGTGATCATAGGAGATGTCAAGAAGTATATAATTATCACTAAAAAATGAATGAAAAAATTTTTAAAATCATTTCGATTTAATATCCGTTAGATGACATCGTGGAAGGTAAAAAGCTGCTGATGTTGAGGAGTCGATGATGATGATGATGATGATGATGATGAAGGTATCATTATTGTATTTATCTTACAAACAGCCAATGACCTGAATAAATGATTAAAAGAAAACTATATTGAAGAATAGACTCTTACGAATATTGACGATCCATAATAACCTTCGATGTCTTAGTGCAGGTAAAAAACTGTTGGTAACCTTGCATTTTTTCGCGCAAATTTTTTTATCTGTGCAGTGAAACCAAGTCGCGGACTCGTGCACTTTGCATACAGAATACGTCATACCCCTCTTCACTCTTTATCCTATGAATATGTTTATCCTGTTGCACTGTATGCCTCTTTTTTATTCTATTTCGTTCTCTCTTTTAATCGCCAGTCAAATAAAAAAAATAATAACACGTACCTCGTGTGTGGGCAACACGCTTAGTCGCCAAGAATCGCTTTAATGGAATAGCGAAGTCTCGATGACAGATTGAACGAGGTCGCCAATTTTTTTACGCGAGATTATTTAAATCTCTGGGAAAAATTGTCTGCTAGTCAGACAGGATAGGACACGAAGACTTTCTTGCATGCATATTTTATTCAGCCTCTTTAATATTCGATGAATTCAATTAGAGCAGATTTTTTTCGAGTATTTTTTAAATATTTTTTCTCCGTTCGCTCATCTCTTTTCTCTCACTCTTTCCTTTGAATATCAACAAACAGATAAATTATATAAAATCAATCAATTAACATAATTATTACTCAATTAGTGATTATCAATAATAACTGTCATGGAGATATTTTTTTTAGATGGTAAAAATTGCTAATGCAAGATAAATAATATGAGGATGCTTTTTAAAAATGTTAAATATATCATTTTTAATTATGATGATATTTTATTTATCTCAGTCAATAAATGATACTATACTAAAAGTTCATGGAAAGTAAATTTAGTAGATGATATACTCACTATAAAATTTGCATTAGGCATTCAACCGTGCAGAGAACATCGCTGGATTTATCTCCATATTCATTAATTTCCTACGAGTAAGTTATTGTTACCATTTCTCAAAGTTTCATGCATTCAATTTTGATAATTTTATCCTATATAACTTTGAAATATCATTTTAAATATAAATCCAACTCTTGTAATACTATAAATTATGTAATATTCATAAAATATGCTCCTAAACTCTTAAATGGATTCAATAAAAATACGCGCCTACTCAATTCCACTTTACTTTTTGTTTACATCAAGCAGTTTTTTAAATATCAAGTCAAATCTTTTCCAGATGGGATTGAAAGTCACGTATAAAAAGAGGGTGAATATGAAGCTGAGAGGGAAAAGAGAGAGAGAACAAGAAATAGAGAATACGAATGGGAAAGGGATCTTGTGTCAGATTGAATCAACCTAAGCAACACCCCTGCACACCCAGATTTTTCTCCCCTAACAACCCCTCAACACACTCGAGGTGGACGTCGCGCTGACCATGCCACTATCAACCAGATATTCGCTGGCGTGGCGTTTGCGCCCCATTTTATTAAGGAAATCCAAGTGTCTACTCACCCTCGTTTTTTCTTCCACTTGGCATGGACTTTGGCATCAGAAAAAGAAAAAATATCTTCTACTTACTCCTGACATGTGTGACGTTTTGCATTTCATTGGAATTTTCATGTATAGAATTATTTTTATCTTCTTATTCTCTACAATTTTAATTTTTTATCAATTCTCTTCATCAATTATTATTGTATCTATCACAAAAATACAGCCATTCTTATCAAATGATCGTTAAAATTAATGATAAAATTTGACTACTATCTTACATTAATTAATAATGTTTCGAATTAATTAAAAATTTTTTCAATAAATAATTAATAGTTTTTAAATTATTCAAAAATGATTAATTGAAGGAAAAATTATTAATATTTTATTTTTCTTGGAATGACTGTTTATAGTTGAAAAAAAAAAATTATTGAAGATGTGGGAAACGAAAACTAGAGTTTTCATAAATTGATTACTGATGTAAAGTGAAAGGAAAAAAATCACTAATATATTTTTCCATTTAAATGAATGAGAAATGAGATGAGTCAAACTTACTTCATCAGCAGTAAAAGAAATAAAAACATCTAGCCAGTGGCAGTTTAAAATCAGAGAGAGGCCGAAGTATATCATTAGAGAAAATTATAACCGAGTGGACTTCGGTGCCACGAAAAGTATAGAGTAAAGAGAAAGAGAAATAGTCTGTTAAGTGAGGAAAGAATTAGATGAACTAAAGTCGACTCGTCTCAAACAGGGAGACTATAGACGAGACAGTCGAGGAAAGCGATGTTACGTTGAAGGGCTGAGTCAGTTCATGCGGAAAATGAATTGAAATTTTAATCATTCCACTCGGACGAGACGTGCTTTTTGTGAACTCTTCGCTCCTCATTTGGTTTTTACACCCCCTTTTGCTTCGACTTTATATTATAACGTTCATTTTAATCCCTGATTTTTTCCCTCGCTTCATCATATATGAACTAATCGCTGAATCGTTCATTTATGCGGCTGTCATTATGATGAAACAAAAGATATTTAAATTCAAATGGAAAATTAATTTTCACCGCATTTATTTATCAATTAAATTTTTTGGTTTCAACACTTGAGAGTTTTCTTACAATTCATCAACTCAATTGATTTTTAATTTAATGAATTAGTTAGTTATTGTGACTAAATATTATATTTTTAAATATTAATGTTTTTTTCTTTAGCATCAAACATCTTATACATAATGATTGTAATTTAGATCTTTTATTTTTTTTTTCTCTCAGTTCTGAAACTTATTAACCCCGTCTGTGGGTCACCAACTTTCAGAGTTGATTTCACTCAATAAAACACTCTAAAAAAATCTTGCATGATATTCCGGCTTCTTATTATAATAATTAATTTTCATTTTAAAAAATACAGTCCATGAACTCATGCATGAATGCATTCCATCGTGTTCATAATCACTTGAAAAAAACATAAAGCAAAAAATCTAAAAATATTTCATACTTTTCATAAAAATTAATTAATATTTATTCTTCTCAAGTCTTTGAAAATTTTTTAACTTAAAAAAAAGTTGACTGACTGGTAAGATTCTAGAACACGTTACTAAGCTCAAAGAGTTATTAAAGAGAATAAGACTGATAGAAAGGAGGGTTGAACGAATGAAAGTTAGAAGAAAAGTCGGAAATAGGATAGCTGTACACAAGGAACTAGAATGACTGAGTTATATCGAATGGTCTATACTCCCTTGGAAGTCGGTGGACAGAAAAAGAACAGTGGAGTAAATACGAGACCATTGAAAATTTATTGAGAAATCATGAAAGACGATCGGTAGTCCCTAGACTACGCCAATCTGGTCTACAAGTTGACACGTGCTTGATTGTAAAAGACGCGGTCAGACCCAAGTGAACTAAGGAAAGAAGCATTGTGTGAAATTAGAGCCCTTCTTATGGTAATTTGACCACTGTATGATTGCTAGCAGCCGCGAAATTCCTTTAGTTTCGACTTCGTGTTGACTTGAGGACAACGACTTCTCTTCTTTTGCTCCCGCATGCGTCAGTCAAAATGTATGGTTTTAAATCTTGTATATTTTTTGTATGGTAATTCACTCGTTTCGGTACTCGATTTGATACTCAAGCCTTGATTTTCTAATCTCGCTTTATTATGCATTGTAATTATAATTGCAAATGAGAGAGCCACTGGAAAAAATACATCGTGATGATGATGATTACACATGGCCATTCGAAATCTGTGCGATCTTTGACGCAAGAGTCAAGGTGGAAACTTGACATGAATTTAATACGCGTTGACTTACAAGGTCACATACAAAAATCCGTTATACTCAAATACGTTTTGATTGAATAGACATTCATTCTTCTGTATATTTTTAAAATGAAGAAAAAAATTTTTTAATAAAATTCCTACGCTGAGAAAAACTTTTTATTATCAAGTGAGTGGTTATATCAAGTGGATTAGATGGAAAAATTTACCCACAGAAAAATTAGTTATCAAACTTTTCGATTGGATAATGAAGTAATTTATACTTTTCACCGACTTGAGAATTGAAAATTTTCTGACATTACTATTTTATTAAAATTGTTTCCAGTTCTCAAATATTTCATTTCTACAACGCAGATCCTCAATTATTTTCTTATTAAATCATATACATTTTATAATTTTCTATTTATACAATAACAGGAAGTTTCAATGTAATATCAAATAGATTTATCAATGAAATAATAGCATTTCGGTTGATTTTTTAATAGTAATTAAAGTACATCAATAGATTTATCATAATATTCAATTTAAATTTAATCTAAAATCAGATTGTTATTCAAGTGTCTGCTATTAATTTTTATGTAATAATCATTTTATTTTCTCTGCATTAGACCATGTGATAGAATTATATAAAATATTTCTATAAATTTTCCATACAATTATGTAATTTTATATTATCATCTCACTATAGAGGATTTAATTTAAAAATATAAAACAAGAAATTAAAATATGATTTTTTTTCCATATAAATGGAACTGTCTTCCTTCTCGATATCACAAATAAGAAGAATTACTCTCACTTGCAGTATCAAAGTTTTTTCTTTGGACTTTATTTTCAAGTTAAACATAATATAAAAATGACTCGTGCAATCTTTTCACTATTGACTGTATTGGTTCTTGCCAACATAGTTGTAAGTAATTTATCAAAATTATTTGAATATGAAATATATAATTTTAAGTACTTCATTAAATTCATATAAAAACATTGTTGTTAATGTTCAGTCGGTATTGGGTCAAAAAGTTAAAACTATTAATGAAGCGGATTCCGATTGGAGAGAAGGAATCGCATCAACAATTGAAGAGTGCAAATATCTTATGTCAGAAGGTGATGATGATTTTGAAACATTTGTATTTTCTCTAATTAGTTATAGAAATCAATTAATTTTACTTTATTTTATAACCACCCAGAAACGGCTTCATATTTGGAAGATGACTATGAATACGATAATAATGAAGTTCGAGATTTTTTGGGTTGTCTTTACACTAAGCTTGGATACGTAAGTTAATGAATTTAAAAATATCATTTGGTAATGATGAAATCTTTAATGATTATCGAAAATAAATCTGTATCAGATGAAAGACTGTAAGATGGTAGCCGATACAATTCATAACGATGTTAATATATATTTTGATGGCGTGGACTCAGAAACATGTGACGCTGTTCATGACGCAGTAGACTTTTGTTGTAAACACGAAGGTGAATTATCAGTAAAAATATTTAATTTATTCATTGTATTTAATTCAACATGATAATAAAATTTTAATTTCAGTTGATGAGCATGACTCTTGTCCGGATGCTGCTGGAAAGTTCACTAATTGTCTCAACAGGAAAAAGAAGAATGACGTAGAGAAATAAATTTCCTTAGATCGATTTTTTTATTGCATTATGTATTCTGTTATTCTTGAACTATATATTACATAAATTGTAGTTAATAATAATGGCATCATAAAAAGCAACAAATATTTATTTTTGTATAAAAAATACCTTTAATCATAAAATTAAAATCATTGATTGATCGAATGAAATACTAAAGAAAAACTTGAAGTAAAAAATGAATAAATTAGATCAAAGTAATCTGATTAATTACAATTAAATAACTCATGAGTATGTTAAATAGTGCAACATCTATTTCTTTGTCTGTTAAACGAGTTAACTCAAACATGCTTGGGGTCCATAACAACTAAAACTAGTCTAACTACATCCTGACGTCACCCGCGGCGTGATTTGCTTCAACCTTGAGAGTAGTTTCTTTTGTTCCTTGGCATTCGGCACAATTAAAGTTCGCTGGTGCGTTTTCGTCGGATTAACCGGTATCCATCTTGCATGGAGAAGGAGATGAAAAATAAGAAGATGATGAAAAACAAGGAGAGATAGAGAGGCTTCTCATTCGGTCGCTTGATTACTGAAAGATATTAAAAAGAAAATAAGGAAGAACGAAAACGACACGGGAGTATCGCTGTTGAGAAGCGTCGAGATACGAGGCGGTCTCTCGCTTCTTCGTTCATCTCTCTTTTTTCGTCCACATCTTTCTCTCGCTTTTTCTTTTCCTTCCTATCGCTCCTGGACCACTCATCGTCTCACTTGAACCAGTCGTCGCCGCCTAGGTATCTACTTCACTCCTCTCTCGTCGCATCCAGAAAGAAATAATTCCAACTGCGAAAACCTATAATTTTTAACTTCGTCCCGCGAGAGATTTTATCTCCGAAACAACCAAAAATATCATTGATATTATTGGTAAATATAGAAATATTTTTCCCTCGGGGCAGAGTCGATACTTTTTATATTCATGCTAATATACGACACCCATAATCGATACATCTGATATTGTTTTCCACGGTCTCTGTCTCGAGCTCTCATTGCTCATTTATTCTACTCATGCTTTTCTGTTAGTCTTCCTCCTCTTTCTTTTTACCCCCTTTTAGTCAGCAAAAATTCATGGAATCCGATAAAAAATCACGATGACACAATCGAGCAATTTGATAAATATTCGTGATCATTCATGAATCTTAAACTTGTTCCCAGAGTGCTAAAGACTGAACATGTGGAGATATGTATGTCTGTAAGGTAGTAGATAGTCTCAAGTCTAGACCACTAGTGCTTTGTTTACGACCCTTGACCGAGTGAAGGACGGTTTGTTGATACACGCGATTATCACTTCCTCTCGATAATGAGTGATAACTACTTACAACTACACTCCATAAAATATAGCGACTTTGCGCTTCAGTATGATAAAAAGGAAAATAAATTGTGGATAGAGCTAGATAAACGGGCTTCTTGGAATCTCAAAAAAATTAACAAATGTTTTATTTTTACTTTGACCATTAAATTATTTTATAGAATTATATAATAATATTATGATAATAATTTCTCAAAATTCATTCAATTGATTACTCGAATAATTAAATTGAATTTTATTGTTCAAAAGATGTATTTGTTACTTTATTTGATTAATCTTTTTTTATATTGACTATGAAATTTTATTTATTATTGGAATTAAAAAAAAAAAAAAAAACCAGAATATAAAACTATTAACTAAATTACTAATATTGTGGGAAAGAATATTTGACTGTTGTAATTTGGTAATAAGTAGCAAATGAAAGAATTTAATGACATAATAGAGAATGGAAAATTTCAACTTTCACCACAAATTGTCTTGAATATCATTTGAAACATCTGGACATAATTTTCAAGTAACATTGTAAGGATTGAAACTTATTAATCCTATTTATGAAATATGACTTATTGTGAAGAGACAAAAAGAATGTAGACAAAGAAGCTATTATAATTTATAACTTCTCAAAATGGGCATAAATTACTTGTTGAATATTCCTGTATATCATTGCCAATCTAAGATTCTCTTAATGTGTTAAAATAACAACTATAAAGTATATTAAATGTAAAATGTCCGTAAATTAACTCTACATGGTTTGTGGACACTTTTTACACATTTTAAGTATTATTATTAAAGAGACTTAGCATGTTAAAGATGTCAATAACATACTTGGATTTGCAGCGTGGAAACAATAGGTTACTAGTGAAGAATGAAAGAAAGTGCATGCTAATTCATCAGAGATGCTCCGATAATGACTAGCAAAAGTATACCTGACTGAAAGTCAAATGGGGGTGTACAGAAGAGGGTGACAGGTAGAGAAAAGCAAGCGAGAGTATAGGTCCGGTGTATTGTTTTGGGAACAATGAATATACCGGGTGTTTCAGTGCATTGTGAGGTTAGAGTAAGCGCAGGAAAAGCTGTCGCAAAGTACACCATGCACTACCAAACTTGCACGTAAAGTTTATTGTGTTGTTGCGCACCGCTGACCCAGGTATAGAAACAGAAAGCCATAGAATATAATCCTCAGCACCCTAAGACTTTTCATCTGTTGTCTACTCAGCTTAGTACTCCACTCGATTACTTTATTGCAGTAATTTACAGATTAATTTGTGACAAGGCTTATAGAAATACTCTGTGGGTAATAATCCTGGAATTCTCCTAATTTGTATCCGTTGCAAAACATCGCCCATATAATGTCAAATACATAGCATCCGGTGAATAATTAATTTATTCATCTATAATGGTCTCTAACATATACAAATACATTCCCTTTTTCTTCGTCTTTTTCACTTCATTACATATACATATTTATTCATTTCAGCTGATGATGTTGATGAGTCATAATTTTACATTCGTTAACGATTCACCCCAAGACCTTCTTCATTATACAATCTTAATATTATCTGATTAGAAAGTGAAAATATGACAGATTAAATACTATCATTATTTTCATTATTTATCGATTTTTTTCAATCAGTATCTAACGATTCCAGCATAAATTATAACAGTTCCTACATTTGTATTCGTAACACACGGTTTTCAAGGTCGAAACCTTCAATATTATATATAGATACCTACATTTCGTTTCCTATGGTCATCGATCACTCCACCTAGACTAGCTTTCTGGCTCCAAGTGATACTGTGCGTAACGATCCGACGGCTCGAGAAAACTCGAAAAACTGCTAACGTTGAAAAAACAGAGTGTGAGAAAATTTTATACATCTGACAGTCTCTAGTAAAGATAGTCAGCCTGTCGGCTTGATGATTTATCGCTAAATGACGCCTTTTTCGCTTCTCGTCCAAACATTATGACCCCTCTCCCCGCTGCCGATGCGTTTCTACTCTTTTTGGGTTGAGTTAAATGTTGCTATTAAATATCAGTTTTTGGAGTAGAATGAGAGTTTTGCTGTATTGAGGCTTTCAGAGCATTGACAATGCAGCGAATGATCAAGCTGAACTTCGTGCAGGTGCGTTTGTCCGATGTTATGAATAATGAAACGAAAGAAAATACAAAAACTTGGTTTTAACAAAAAAATACATTCTATTCTTTGGTTTTTGAGTATCATTCATCTTTTCTCACATCATTCATAGCGGAAGTATATCAAAGAATCAGTTATTTGAACTGAACAGTCTTATTGACAGTTGGAAATTTCATTTATTAAATACATAATGATTTCAATCAGCTGGGTTACTTTGCAATATATTTTCTTTAATTTATTTAATAATCAATCAGAATAATCATTGAAAAAAAATTCACCGTCATAAAAAATCGAAATAAAACTTTCTACTAGTTCAAAAAATATCTTTTTAATTTAATAAAATTATACATGTTTTGAACACTGTAAATTTTAGTACTTTATTTTAGAACATTAAAAATGTTTTAATATGACGTCACACATTTGGTTAATATTGTCTCGACTCTAAAACACTTAAAATCGTTTTAAAATCGAGACAATGTTAATCTAATGTGTGACGTCATATTAAAACATTTTTAATGTTTTAAAAAAAAACACTAAAATTTACAGTGAAAAAAACATTCTTTTTAATTTTTTCCATATAAAATTACCTATTGTGGAACAAAAAAAAATAAATCATCCTTTAAGTCAGTTAAAAAATTAAATGTAATTATTCAATGGAATATTTTATGCATATTAGTTATTTTGGTAATTTTATACTATCGCAGTCCCCTCGTTTTTTGGCTCTAGATAATCGAAAAATCATCCGATTTAATGATTTTTTTAAAATCTTTGTTTTTACGGCTAATTTATGAAAAAAATATGGGAAATATTTCACCTAGAAATTTTATATAGTTTTATGCCTTTAAATGTTCATGTAAATGCACTCATTCACATATAATTGTTGATAACTTTTTTACAAGTTATCGAAAGAAATTGTTATATTTTTTTAATCGTCAATTTTAAGAAAAGTTGTTATTATTTTAAATTGTAAAAATATGAAAAATCAACATTTTTTAAGGATTTTTTTTTCAAAATATTTGTTTTTTCGTGCCAATTATGAAAAAAATATAACAACTTCATACAATAACTTGTAGAAAAGTTATCAACAATTATACGTGAATGAGTGCATTTACATGACCATTCTTAATTTTTCTATAAATATTTTTTTCATAAATTAGCCGTAAAAACAAAGATTTAAAAAAAAATCATTGAAATCGGATGATTTTTCGATTTTCTAGAGCCAAAAAACGAGGGAACCGCGATAGTATAAAATTACCCTATATTTTTTCATGACTACGAGATTTTTTTTACAGATTAAAAAATTTAATTCGAGAAGTTGACGACAATCACTGCGGTAAGTACAAAAATCATAGAAAAAAATTGATATTCGATTATTTCATCGAACAATAAAAAAAAGATGTTCTCATTCTGCTATAGCAAGAAGCCGGAAATAAAGATCTTTCTTTCGTTATAGATGACTTACGAATCTTCCAGTTTATTAATTTTCATTTGAAATATGCTCCATAGAAAGTATTTTACTACACGTCTATAACTAAAGGTACAGA